TTTATGAATGAGAACTACTTAATCCCAAAAATATTCTGTAAGACTGTATAGTTAGAAAGAATAAACAGTTATTCCATATTTTAGAGAGTGCAATATTTAGTTTGTCTATGAAACAATATTATATGTAGATTAATGCATGTATACTTGGAAGTAAATTCTACCATGCTGATTGGAGTCTAATTCCAAAAACGTATGCATAATATTGCAACATTCTACCATGCTGATTGGAGTCTAATTCATAATATTGCAGCCTTATTGTAACACCATATCCATTAAATCACTATTTAAATATGAATGTGCATGTGCCTTGGACAACAGAAAATTACACATTACTTGGGCATAAACATTAAATCAATAGCTCACTTTCAATTTACTGTAGTCCTTTAAGATAATTTTCAGAAAAAGTTTCTTTCAGAAAAAAATAACATTTATTCTTTATTTCTGTGAGCAGATTTAAAGTGTCAGAATTTTTTTCTTCTCCAATAGTCTGAATGAAACAGAGTGACAGAAATTTTAGAGTCTAAATTCATTTAGGCCCATTTTCTTTAACTAGTTAACTAAAGCTAGGAGAGGCATGAGGGATGAACGAGAATGTGGAATTTGTGAAATTCCATGAGCACGGGATAGCTTAACCAATCCCAAATCCCAAGTGTTGCAGTCAGGTCAAAACCTTTCAGTATTGTACTAGTACGTCAAAATATGTCAACAAACCATCACACTGCAGGAAGAAGAATGACCTTTCAGTTCTTTGTGTTTTGGCTGCCAGTGAAGCTCTGGATACTGAGTATGCATGAACAGTTTTCCTAGATGCTTGACAAATGCAACTCCCAAGGTTTCCACTAAGTCTGTTAAGTCACTATGTTTCAGTTTACTAATACAACTTTTTAAGCCCCTAAACTGCTAGATAATAGTGACATTGTGCTAGAAGAAGGTCTTCCTTCTCGTAAAACTGCAATGTATCTTTACTTCAACAAATCAACTGATAATATTATTACCAATACAATCACTAAGCATCTCCCTAGTTTCTCTCCTCACTTTTGTACATTTATGGTAAATGTTAAAATTAACTTCTAAAAGATAATGCATACCAGGCCAGCAAGAAAATGAAATATTTTTCCATGAAACACAGTTTAGCCCCTATATTTTGTTATCTTTATGAGATACTTTTACTTTTATCATTTAAAATATTTATATTCTGTTTTTCTGAAAGTTCCCCTAAGTGGGGATACTACTGATTCAAACATATTGGCAGCCATTAGAGTCACTAAGAACTACTTAGAGGAGCACCACAGTTTAGGATTTTACAGAAACACAGCATTTATTCACAACTGATATATATGATTTGTGACTGATCTGCCTATTTAAATTTACCTACTAAACAGAGCAGTTACATAATAAGGATTGGAGAGTAAAAGAACTCTGCTAGGTGGTGTGAGAATGCACATGTGCAAAAAGCTAATTCTGCTACACTTAAGGTTGCCAAATCCATTTTAGCCCACAGCAGGGGACTTGGGGGGATGTTCCCAGAGGGGGCGGGGCATCCCTGACGTGATGACGTCACATTGGGGATGTCTGCCCCCCCGCCTGGTGGGCGCATGGGGAAACGCCAGCTCCCTGCACTTAAAGGGGCCCCAGTCTCCGCTTAGAGATTGGGTGCGCGGGAAATGCCAGCTCCCTGCATTTAAAGGGGCCCCTTTAAGTGCAGGGAGAAGGGAGAGGGGTGGCTGCAGGTGTTGGGGGCGGGGCTTCCCCCATTGGCCAGCTGGCCGGCGGTGGGAAGAACCCCCCAAAAAGCAGGGGACCCCTGTCAAACCGGGGGGTTTGGCAACCCTAGCTATACTGCATGTTTAGAAAGCAACACAGTGTTGCTGAACAGCTGAACGAACAGGGGTCTGTTCCCCACTAGTGAACAAGAAACTAGCTGAACCCATGGATCCCTAAACATCCCTAATTTTAACTATGTAAATTATAGTGAGGTTAAAATATACTGAGGTTAAAAAATGCTAATAATAATAAATGTTAAAGACCTAAATGGCTTGAGACTGCAGACCTACCAGTTTATTGGGTGAGGCCTGTTTTATGTGACACCTCTTTGAGAAGTTAGGAGTGTGGGGCTGGCAGCATATATCAGGGCCTTTTTGGTGGCAGTGCAAGGATTATGGAGTGCCCTCCCTGTGAGATTAACTTGGTTAGTCCTAAAAGTGCCGCTTGATTTCTGTTTTACTTTGTACTATAGACTAACATGACTACTCTTTTGAAATTAGTATTGTGTTTCTTAAGAACATCTAGAACTTTATTTCTCTATCATATGGCAGAATTACACACAAGAAGCATATCTATATATATAAAAGAAAGTCCCCTCACTGTAAAATCAACGCCCATACCAAACCCCTGGACCTAAAAACACAAAATTCGGGGAGAGCGCTCCTACCATGGTGTAGATGCTCATTAAGAAGGGATTTTTAGAAATTCAACCCCTAAGTGGATCAAAAGGGGTAAAATGTGCTCCCCCATTGATTCCTATGTGGCTGCCAGGTGGCTGTCTCCTTGCAC